AAAATAAGACTCATCGAAGGTGACGTGGCGGGAGATGATAATCTTATGGGTGGTTAGGTCTAGGCAGCGATAGCCACGCTGGGCTTCTGGGTAACCAAGAAAAATGCACCGAGTAGAACGTGGGGCTAGTTTGTGGGGGGCAGTAGGAGAGAGGTTAGGGTAACAGAGACATTTGAAGACACGAAGATGTGTGTAGGATGGGGGAGTGCGATATAGAACTTCATGTGGGGTGCGATTGTTGATGGTGGTGGTGGGGAGAATATTGAAGAAGTGAGTGGCCATGTGTAAGGCTTCTACCCAAAAGTGAGGAGGAAGGTTAGCTTGAAAGAGAAGGGTGCGAACGGTGTTGTTTATTGTGCGGATGGTGCGTTCTGTGCGGCCATTCTGTTGGCTCGTGTAGGGGCAGGAGAAGCGAAAAAGAATTCCCAGAGATTCAAAAAATGTAGCAAGGGGGTTATTTCTATATTCAGTGCCATTGTCACATTGTACAGATTTTATGGTTGTATTAAATTGATTTTTAACAAGAGCATGGAAATTAACAATATGAGAGTAAGCATCAGATTTGTGGTGGAGGGGAAAAATCCATAAATAATGAGAAAAATCATCTAATAAAAACATATAAAATTTAAAACCAGTTACAGTAGGAACATGAGATTGCCATAAATCAGTGTGCATTAATTGAAACAGAAAAGTTGAAATGCGACTTGATGACTGAAAAGGGAGGCGTACATGTTTGCCTAGTTGACATGCATGACATAAAAAATCTAATTTTGATTTAGGAAAACTATCTAAAGAAGATGACACGCCATGGAGAACAGCGGGGCTGGGGTATCCAAGCCGTTGGTGCCAGGTGGAGAGATCGACTTGGGCCAAATTGAGGTGGGCGTTGGAGGGCGCTTGGGAGATGGGGTAGAGAGGTCCGTCATTATTGGATCGATGAATCACGGCTCCCGTCAATTTGTCCTTTACAGAGAAACCACAAGAGTCAAATTCAATGGTGCAATTATTATCACGAGTAAATTGACGGTCAGATATGAGATTATGGATGATATGTGGGGAGATTAAGACATTGTTTAGGGTGAGGGGGGGATGTGAGAAGTGTGCCCTTACCAAAACCAGTAGTGCTCACTTTAGATCCATTACCAACAATAATATGCGAAGGAGAATTAATGCTTGAAGTAAATACATGAGATAAAGTACCTGAGTCAGAAGTTATGTGATGAGAAGCTCCGGTGTCCATGAACCAGTTGGGTTGGGTGGGGCCGTGGGGGTGAGGGTGAGGTTCTCAAGGCTGTGGGCTAGGGCG